TTTTTTTTTTTAATTTTTATTGTGATCTGGGTGAAAGTTTTCAGAGCAAATTCATTTTTCATACAGCAGTTCATACACATTTTGTCTCATGACATTGACTGCAATTTCCCACAGTGTAACAACTCTCTTCCCACTTCCTCTCCATAGTTACCTCTTCCTTGTGTCCTTCCCTCCCATGCACTCCTGCCCCCGCCCGCCAGTTGTCTCCCTGTGCATACACAGCCCTTCTGTTCTCCCATGATTGATCTCTCCAGGGAGCATATCTACCTGATGTAAATGTTCAGCCCATATGCCTGTCTTTTATTTGGCTAGAAGTCACAGGAGTGAGTTCAATTCTAGACCTGAAGGGCAGCTAGGGGCCATAGTCTCAGGGGTCTCACCAGGCTCTATCAGACCAGCAAATCTGGTCTTCTTTTTTTTTTTAAATATAATTTTGAGTTTTGTTCCACATTGTTCTCCCACTCTATCTAGAATCTCCTATACAGATTCCCCCTCTGAGAAGTTGACACTGGTAGCCAGGCACCATCTAGTTCTTCTAGTCTCATGGTCATATAGGCTGAGGATCACATGGTGTACCAGACCTCATGAAAATTCTTAAAACAGCTTAAATCTTAAAGGGTTTGGAGAAACTTAATTGTTTTTATGACTCTGGTTCATTCTCCTAGTCAATATATTTTTACTGAGTACCTGCTATGTGCCAGCTACTGTTCTAAGTGCTTGTAGAAATGATCTGCCTACATTCTTCCCCAAACTCCTGGGGAAAGATCCAAGGAGATCCAGAGAGAGGGCCTTTGGCACTCAGAAACATCAGGCTGCCTGTTTGTGTTGGTGGTGGGAGTTGGGTGGTAAGTGTTGGAAAGGTCTGTGAGGGACTTGGCATTCTGGGATCACAGTATGTGTTTGGCTTTGTCAGTACCCTCCATCCAGAGACCACAAAGAACACCTTGTAGTTGAACAAGTTGGGTTTATTCATTGCAGCGAAGGAGAATGCACACCATAGGGAATGGTATAGTGTCCCAGTAAGAGAGCGTTAGAACTTGTTACCGAATTTAAGTTGGTGTTAGGTAATTTTGGGGAGGGTATGAGGAATCAGAGATTTGGTTTTGGTTGGATGCAGGGGAAGGTGGGAGTAATTTTATGCTTGGCTGTCTTAATGGGGGCACAAATGGTTAAGTACTTGAATACTAGGTGAAAGGTTGATGGTTCAAACCCATCCAGAGGCACTTTGGAAAGGCAGGCCTCATGAGCTGCTTTTGAAAGGTCACAGGCTTGAAAACCCTATGGAGCATTTCTACTTTAATACATATGAGGTTGCTATGAGTTGGAATAGATTCGATTGACAGCAACTAACAACATCAACACCACCTGAATGAGTCTTATCTAGAAAGAGGGAAGACTAAAGTGAGGCTAATGATGTTATTAGAAAGAAGTAGCAGTTACTCATATTAGATAGGATGGGGGATGTTTAGTCATTTTTGTGATTTGGACAAGTTCATATATATATATATATTTTTTTTTTTTTTTTCTGTTCACACATGATTACAGAGTAGTCTTGTTTTTTCTTACTGTCATCATGGTCACAGAGTGGCCTTGTCTAATGTTGATGTTCTATGAAATTGTTTTTGTTTAAGAGAAGAACACCAAGGCATAGCTGTGAGCTGTCAAGGGCTGCTTTTTTTCTTTTTCACCTTTTTATCTATTGTTACAGACAGATCAATGCCCAACATACCCCAGGGAATGACAGAGACATCTGTTCTGAAACTGTTAGCAACCCCTCTTGGCGTCTTGCTCTAGGGACTTGTAAATTCCTACAACTGTGAAGTTTGCCTTTCTGTCTAATCTGATTCAAGTTAAACCCACTCTTACTTGCTCCTAAAAGGACCTTCAGACTGAGAGACACATATCTCCATAATAATCTTGAACACTTTCAATAAGTCTCTGCTTTTCCATTTGGTGAGAATCCCTCCTAATTCTCTTAAGCCGTGTAGGACCCTTTCTGCAATCCTTGAGTTATTTCATTACTCACCTCTTGACCTGTTTTGAGTCCCTTAAGGAATTACCATCTTTACAAGGAGTCTAAAAACAGGAGCTAAGGCTGACAGGTGGAAACCAATAGGTGAGAGGGAATGCTTCAAAGAAAAGGCTTCATGAGGCTTTATCCACAATGGAGTGAATCAGAATCTCTTAGAGCTGGAAAGAGCTGGAGATTCCTGAGTTCATCCCTGCCGGTGCACAAATTCTCTGAGCCATATCCTTGACAAGTGGGCAGTTAGTTTGGGTGGGAGCACCTCCAAGGAGGGGAAGGTGGGGCTGTGATCCAGAGAGGGAGGAAGATTGAGAATCTGGGGGACGTGTTTTCCCTTTCTAAACTTCAAGGACCTGAACATGGCTGTTGGAATTCAAAATGTTCCAGAAATGGCCCATTCTCTCCCTCTTTCTCGTAAAACTTCTTGCCTAAATACAGAGTCCATTACCTTATATTAATCATTATAATTTCAGTTTTTGAGTAGGAAACTCTAGGGAGGAATAAAATATTTCTCTGTTAATACTTTACTATGAATAAATGTCTCTGATGACTCTCCTCCTTCGTAGGAAGGATAAGTTGGTCAACATGAGGTACCTGATAGAAGTGTTAAAATTTAGTAGAAGGTGCAAGAATGATTCTTAAAAGGACCAAGTTAAAATTCACCTACTTTCTAGCTTTGCCGAGGGTTAATCCTTATAGAACAATTTGAGAGGTGAAGGCTTTATTTTGGGAGACTGAGGAAGGAGCTGATTGTATTACCATGCTATGTTGTTGTTAGGTGCTGTTGAGTCAGCTCCTACTTGTAGCGACCCCATATACAACAAAACGAAATACTGTCCAGCCCTGTGCCAACCTCACAAGCCTTGAGCCTGAGCCTGAGCCTATCAAGTTATACTCTGGAAAATCTGAAATGAGTTTCCAAGACTTGATATGGTAGGACCTGAACTTCTCACACTGGGGCTGAGCCTGTGAGGACAGGGACTTGAGTTAAAGGGTGAATATTCAGTTCGGTGCAATCAGTGCTAAGTGGTTTGGATGAGTGAACTGAGAGGGGTGGTTAAGTGCTGGGCCCATACCAGTGTGACAGAGACTGGTACATGTCGTTAGATGGGATGGGATGGGATGGGATGGGGTAGCAGAGACTTTCCTGGAAAAGAATTTGTCCTCAAGGGACAATTTGAAAACCAACAGATTATTTATTACTTTGATAGCTCTAAGACACATATTGAGGGCTGTGGCTTGAGCCTGAGGTCAGTTTTCAACGTGTCATGAGGTGGGACTGAGTTAGTAGTTGACTATCTATCGGAACCTTGGTTCTTACTCCTTTCTTTTGCATTCCTAACCTATGCCCTAGACCTTGCTGTGGTTGGCACTGCTTGGGTGACAGATGAGACGGAGAACTCCCTTGATGTGGAGTGGGAGAACCCCCCAACTGAGGTTGATTACTACAAGCTGCAGTATGGCCCCCTTACAGGGCAGGAGGTGGCTGAGGTTACCGTGCCCAAGAGCAGTGACCCCAAGAGCCGATATGACATCACAGGTAAGAACAAACACTGGAGGTATGAAGAATTCGCTATAGATGGTGTAGTGCCTAAGGCATTTGACTGCTAACCAGAAGGCTGGAGGTTCAAACCCACAAGCCACTCCTCAGAAGGCAGGTTGGGCAATCTACTTCTGTAGTGATACCACCTTGGAAACCCAAGGAGGGGTCACTATGAGTCGGAATTGACTTGACAGCAGTGAGGTTTTTTTTTTTGGCTTAGGTTAGTTATTACAACTAACAAGTTAGGTGAGTTATTACTCAAAAGGAGAGAAACTTCTGAGTGTGAAAGATTGTTAGGAACAGAAAAACATTTAGGATTGTAAATAAAATTGGTAAATAAGAGCCCAAACAAACAAATGGGAACTCCACCAACTTCATCTCATCAGCTCTGACCCCCCACCCTGACCTATAAGCCCCCTCAATGATGCTTCCTATTCCACTGGTCCTCTGCCTTCAGGCAGTGGATAGTCTTTGGGTGAGAAGTATAGACCTTCATATTCCTACAAGAGAAACCATGGGGGAGAGAAGGGCTGGCGTGGGGGTCTGTAGCCTGCCCTCACATTCTTCTCTGGCTGCATGTTTCTAGGTCTGCGTCCTGGGACCGAGTATAAGATCACTGTTGTCCCCATCAGAGAAGAACAGGAGGGCAAACCAATTATCCTGAATGGCAGGACAGGTAAGTGCTACAGGGAAGCCCTATGAACATTTACTCATGTTTATATTCTGGTATTTTTCTTGAGTGCTTCTTTTCTGGATAAAAATTCTGGACATTGAGAGATTCCATCCCTTTGTGTACTGACATCTGTTTTGGTGGGCAGGGGAGGGGGAGCCAACTTCAATTTCTTTTTTTTTTTTTTTTTT